TGTATGTATGGATTGTGATCAGAGTTGTATGAGCTCCTAATAAAGCGATATTTTTTTTTAATTCCCAAATGCCCAGATCCCCACTTAGGATCACTACAAGTTGGAAACAATATGATGGCAATGGTTTTTTGTTTTCTTTTTAAATACATGACTATAATTCAAAAAAATAAATGAATATAATATAGGGCATAAGTATATTTTCTTGGGGGAAAAAGTATTAATCATTGAACTTTTTAAATGTTCTTGAGATAGTAATAATAGGTTCCTAGAATCGATCCTACTTTTCAAATAGTGGAAAGACAAAGCCATGATCATTTTCTGATCCCCGGTGGTCCATCAGCTCCTCTAAGTTCCTGTAATTCGAAAACCCCTGCAGTCTGTTAGGATGCTGGTTTTCTAGCCACTTAGAATTTCTTACGTATCCTAGTGGCATGTGCATACTCCATGCACTGGAAAGCTCCTGCCCATATGTAGGAACAGGAATACACTAGTATGTTTGGATTAGTGCATCAATAAAGCTTCCACTGCAGAAAAATAAAAATGCACACAGTTATCTGAACAGAATCCAGAATGCCTAAACTCTTTTATCTTGCCCCCCCCCCCACGCCTTCACCTATCACAAAACACATCCTCTCATTCATTGCTAGTAGACTAAGAGGAAAACCAAACTCAAACACTGCCATTGTGTTGATTCCGACTCATAGCAACCCTACTGGACAGGGTAGAACTGCCCAGCTGAGTTTCTAAGACTGTGACTCCTCCCGAGAATAGAAAGCCTGGTCTTTCTCCAGAGGAGCTGCTGGTAGTTTTGAAGGCTGGCCGTTTCTGTAGCAGCCCAGTGCGTAAGCACTATGCCACCAGGGCTTGGTCACTCTGAAATCAACAATTTAAATAGTTTTAAAACAAATGAGCTCAACAGGAAACTAATTATATATAAAGTCAAAGCTCAATCAGTGGGAGGCGTTATAGGCTAATGACCAGCAATACATCATGACCAAAGTTGTATTAATCACAGTGCCCTCTTTACGCATCATATTCTGTGGACAAGGTATGATTAGCCTTATGATTTTTTAGGTTAATGACAGGTAGCTAAATATTACATAATTACCAGAGTACAAAATGTTGGTAGGTTTATATTATATAAGAAGTTGAAAGGGAAAAATACCTTAAACTTTTGAATGCCGAAGACTGATGAAATCCATCAGTGAACCTAATACCAAAAATAAGTTTGAGTTGTTTTTCAAACTTTGCTGGTACTCCATTCACAGAATACATGGCTCACTGAGTCCATATTTGCCACATGTGTTAGTCATTTCTTCTAAGTTAGTCTAGTGCGATGAATTCCGAATGTAGGTCGATTCTAGCTTTTCATGATTATTGTTTTCATTATGAGTGATGGTATACAGGAGCAATTTTAGAAGTCATAGTAAGGCCTTAGAAGCCCTAGTGGTTATCTGTTGGGCTGCTAACTACAAGGTTAGCAGTTTGAAACCACTATTCACTCCTCAGAAGAAAGATAGGACTTTCTACTCCTGTTAGCAGTTGCAGTTTCAGAAACTCAAAGGGGGCAGTTCTGCCCTGTCCTACAGGGTCTTTATGAGTCTGCATCGACTCAAGGCAGTGATAGTTAAATTCAGTAAGGCATTCTGATAATTAGGAGCATTCTGATAAAACTTACCATTTGCCTATATTAATTTTATGCTGCACAAACAATAAATGGCATGACATTTAGTCTCAAATTTTTCAATCTAAATCAGAATTTCAGGGCAATAGAATGATATAGTTTTAGGAGTTAGCATATAAAATAGTAGAAAATATTACTCAGAAAGACTCAGGCTTAGAATAAGTTGGACACAGTTCACCAAAAAGGAAGTGCGATATTGACAACCATACCCAACCACACAGTATACTCAGATTCTTTATGCTTATTAAATAAGCTTATAAATATAGCATTTTTAGGAATCACAAAAATAACAAGTAGCTCTAACTCAAATAGTAACACTTATATTCAAACACTGACATATGGTTTTTGATCTAGTATGAGAAAAGTTTATGTAATAAACTCCAGAATTTACTAAAGTTAATAGCTATTTCTATACCTAAAATAAGTGTCCTACTACTTATATCCCTTCTTTGCTTGTCCATTGCTCCCTAATGATGGGGTATACAATCATGACTCTTGTGTACTATAGAAATCCAGTTCATGTGTACCTTAAAGGTTAAACAATTGGCCATACAAACTATACCTTAAGACACAGGTAGGCAGGCACGCAGTGTTCCATCTTGCTTTGAAGCTGCTTATTCCACTAACCTTCTCAAGTGCCATGTTGTAGCTGAAGTCTTTCCTTTGAGTATTACTGGCAGCTAAGTAAAGTATGACTTTATGCTTGATGTTATTTTTAAAGCTCTAACGTACATAAGAGGTGCCCGGTGGCATAGTGGTTACAAGTTGGGCTGCTCACTGTGAGGTCAGCAGTTGGAAACCACTAGCCCTCCATGGGAAAAGGCAGGGCTTTCCACTCAGAAAGAGTTGCAGTCTAAGTAACTCAGGAGCAGTTCTACCCTGCCCTGTAGGGCCACTGTGAGTAAACATCGACTCAATAGCAGTGAGTTTGGCTTTCTGGAATGTACATAAAACCACCTTCCAGGGAGTTAATTCCAATTCCTGTTAATCCCAGAGTAGAATGTGCTTTGTAGGATTTTCAGTGGCAGATTTTTCAGAAGTAGAAACTTAGTCTTTTCTTCTGAAGTGCCTTTGCATGAACTTGAGCCTTTAACCTTTGACTCTGTACATTAACTTTTGTACCACCCAGGTACTCCTGGTTTATATTTTATTCCATTATTGGTAGTTCTTGCTTGGTTTCAAGGCTCTATAGTCTTTTTTCTCCATGACTCTGGCCCACCCCCATCCCCAGTAGTTTCAGTGCTGCCGGTGTCTATAGAACCAGTTTTGATACAATTCATAAGCGATTTAAGGGTCTACACCTTATGAAAACGAGCACATTGTCCAGTGTAGGGTTGGAAGGTGAACCCCTCAGTGTGGGAAGCACAGAGCTGTTGCCTCAAAATAAAGTCAACCTTAATGACATGGGTGGAGGAAAGCCTTTATGATCTTTGTTGTTTGGCATGACTCCAAATGAGAAGTGATAGCTGCAAACATCCACTAGTAATGGGAATGTACAATGTGTGAAGTATGGAAATTGGAAGTCATCAAAAATGAAATGAAACTCTTGTTGATCAGTATCCCAGTTGTTAGTGAGCTCAAATGATCTGACATTGGCCATTTACAATCTAATAACCGTATGGTCTCTGTGCCAGGAGTGAAATACAGGACTATTCCTGGTCATTTAATAGCCATACACCTGTAAGGAAGACCAGTTAGTACAACCTTTATTCAACTTTATGCACCAACCACAAATACCAAAGTTGAAAATTGTTCAGTCCCAAAGTGATCAAGCATGCATTCAAGATGCACTGTAAATTATTAATGATTGGAATGCAGAAGTTGGAAACAAAGTTGTTGTTTTGAGGTAGTGTCACTATGAAGAATGGGAATTCTAAAACAGTTGTGCTCGTGTAGAATCTGTACGTGAATCAAAGGCAGCCATTCAAAGGAAGCAAAAGACACTGCTTGATTCATAATTGGAAAAGGTGTGTGGCAGGGTTGTGTCCATTCCCCTGACATACCCAGTTTGTATGCTGAACCAGTAATCTGAAACACCAGACTGTATACAAAGAAGAACACAACCTGTGTTCATTCACATCCTGTGGTATGCAGAGGATTCCGTTTTCCTTGCCAAAATGAAGTCAGCTTGAAGCTCTTACTGATGCAGGTAAAGAACTATAGCATTCACCATAAATCTAAACGTGAAGAAACAAAAATGTCTCAACTGGGTCATAGTACACAGATTAAAAAATAACGTTGTCAACAGTTTCATTCTACTTAACCAGTTAACATCCAAGGAAGCAGTAATGAGGGAACAACATATTGCATTGGACAAATTTGCTACCAAAAGCCACTTTAAAGTTTTAAAAAGTAAAGATGTCACCTTCATGACTGAAGTGTGTCTGACCTAGGCTATGGTCTTTTCAACCACCTCACACACATGCAAAAGCTGGACAATGAAAAAAATGAAGGCAGAAGAATTGATGTATTCCAATTGTGGTGTTGGCAACTAGTACTCTTGTCGACTGTCAGGAGAACGAGCAAATCCATTGTAGAAGAAATGCAACCACAATGCTCCTGTAACCACAATGATGGCAAGACTTCCCCTTGATTAACGTGTACATATCATCAGGAAAAACCAATTGCTAGAGATGGACATCATATTTAATCAAGAGAGAACCCTCCCCCCCCCCCAAATCAAATGCGTTGCCATCAAGTTGATTCTCACTCAAGTGACAGAGCAGAGCCGCCCTACTGGGTTTCTAAGGTTAGAGCAGCGTGTTCCCACCTGTATCCAAGCACTTTAGCCACTGTGCCACCGAGCTACTTGGTAAAGTAGTGGGTTGGCAGAAAATTAGGGACTATCAGTGAGATGGAGTGACATAATGGGTACATTATGTTCCAAAACGTATCGGGGGTGCGTGGCTGGGCAACATGTCATCCTGCTGTACAAAGATAGTTGTGAGTTGTCGCTGACTTGATGACAACTGAAGGCACGGCCCTGACTCAGCTTTGATATGCATGTCAGCTCTAAGGACTGATTTTTGACCTTATCCACGATTTTGTTAATCTCTTCAGTACTGTAACCTCAGAATTGGGCCAATGCGCTCTCCTCAGGAACTAGAAAAGTTAACCATTTTCTAGAAGGTTGCTAGGGCCCTACTTCTGCTGCAAACTTTTACCCATCTGCCTGCCTACGATATTACCTCTGCTGCATTTCCTTTTGCCATAACTCGATTTTTGTGTGTGCCATAACTCTTGTTTTCTTTCTTAAATTTTAGTTTCTAATAACTTAACAATCTTTGTAATATAGAGCCTGGGAATATATCAACCATAACATAAGGAAACAAGGATCTTTATTAGTAACAGTACCAAGTCTTGAAGAGTCTCTCTCAGGTCTTCAGGTATGTAAACCTTGTTTCCAGCATTTTTGTCAAAAGAATTTTTCTGGTAGCTATTACAATATTTTACAGACAGCTCTCTAAAAATAACTGATAGATGCTTGAGAAAATAGCAAGACTTTATGGTTTAAGTGCTGGCTTGTGGTTTCTTCACTGGTAACAACAGGTCAATAATTCTTACAGTGCTATCAAAGAACCCTGGTAGCATACAGTTTGAAGAGTTTGCCAGATAACTGAAAGGTTGGCAGTTTGAAGCCACCAAGTAGCTCTATAGAAAAAAGACCTATCTGCTCCTGTAAAGATTAAACAGAGAGACTCCCCAAACTCTGCTGTGGAGTTGATTGTGGCTGGTGATGACCTTGTGAGACAGAACTACCCTGGAGGGGTTTCAGGGATTTAATCTATACCAAGGCCAACTGCCATGGCCCTGGCAGAGTGGCTACTGGATTTGACCTACAGACTTGTCAGTTCCCATCTGAGCACTTAACCCGCTATGCCACCATAGCACTCTCCTATAAAGATCACAGCCTGAAAGCCCTTATGGGGCAATTCTACTTTGTCACTCAGGGTTGCTGTGAGTCAGAATTGATATGACAACACACTTAACAAGCTAAGCTATGGCTTAGGCTCATAAAAGCTATTGAATGTGAGCGGCTTCGAACACGCAGCATAATTTTGTCTCTTAGAGCAACAGTAACAGTTGCTCCAGGCTTGTAGAATCAAGCATGTGGACTGAAGGTCTGTCTGTTTGGAATCTTCTACAGACCACTTATTTGTTCCCCAGGTTCTTCAAATAAAATAAAGCTTATATTTAACAATAAGATGAGTTTAATAACTTAACCCATGTGGGAAGGTTAATTAGTCTTCATTAAGCTTTTTAAAATGACCTTTGAAAGGAGCCCTGGTGGTGCAGGGTTACGCACTCAGCTGCTAACTGGTGTGAACCTGACAGAAAGATGTGGCCATCTGTCTCCATGAAGATACAGCCTGGACCATCATGAAGCAGTTCTGTTCTATCCCATAGAGTAGCGCTGTGAGTCAAAGTGGAAGTTTTCACATTTTTCAGATAGCATCTTACTATCATTGTCTTTAGTGGTGCTCACCCTGCATGTAAGCACTGCCAAATATAACTAGCCATTTTTTTCCTTGAGAAGGTTAGCCATTTACCATCAATACCTTCTTACATTCTCATACTTACAAAACTAATCCCAACTTGTTAAAACAAAAGAAATAATGCAGAGATGCTTTTTCAAAGATGTTAATTTTCCCAGTTCCCCTGAGCCCCACACTTCACTCCCGTTCAGTAAGATTACTACAAGGAGCCTTGGTGAACAAATAGGTTACATTTTGGACTGCCAACCGCAGGGTCTGCAGGAGAAAGATGAAGCTTTCTGCTCCGGCATGGTTTTATGGCCTTAGAAACCCAGAGGGAAGGGACAATTTTACTCAGTCCTGTAGGGTCTCTAAGGGTTAATTGACTCAACAGCAGTGAAAAGATTGCTACCCTGTGAATGGTATGATCCTAGCATACTTTTTCATACTCATACAAGCAGACCTTTTAAAGCGCATTAACTCATCCACTACCATTAAGTCGATTCCACTTTATACCTGTATAAGGTTTCCAAGACTATAAATTTTTATGGGAGCTGACAACCTCATCTTCCTCCCTTGGAACAGGTGTTGGCCTTGCAGTTAAGAGCCCAGTTTCTTACACACAGCAAAGGCTCACTCACTGCCATATGTCAGTACTGACTTATAGAGACCCACTGTGCGTTTCCGAGACTAACTGGTTAAGGGAGTAGAAAGCCCAGTCTTTCTCCCTCTGAGCTGCTCTTGTTTTCAAACTGCTGACCATGCGGATTGCAGCCCGCATAACCACTGTACTACGCTCCTAGTGCTCCTTTAGAGGAAAAAGTAAAGTATCCAATTTATGGAATGGTGTTCATAAATATTTAAATAATTTGTTTCAGTGTACATACATCTGTATAGATAATCTTTAGAAATTAATATGTATGAAAGTTGTTACAAATAAACTCGAGTAACCATATTGTGTTCCCATTTAAAAGAGTACCTTTAAGCAGCTATTTTCCATGTTGGCTCCAGAATTTCTGTGGTGTGAGTGCTAAAGTTTTCTGAATGAAGGGAGGAGCCTGATGAAAATTACAGAGGGTTAGGGTGAGCCGTCGTCAAGTGATTCCTCAGCCCTCTCTTCTCTGTATACAGAAACCGTTTTTGGGGCTTGTTCATTTTCCTTGTTATCTTTATTGTTTAATGATAACTATTAAACCAAAAGCATTAAAAGAATTACTCAATCTGCATTTTCCTGTATTCTTTCAAGTTTCAAAAGCAGAATGGATTACTGAACTTGTCGTGTAATACCACCAGGTTCACATGGCACTATGCAGAGCTTGGTCCCGAGCATTATCGCAGATGTCTGCTGTGCTTAATGACTCAATTAGTGATGGCTTCTTGAAATCCCGGAGAAAATGATCAGTCTGCAAGTCTAATGTTTGTTTATAATTTTTTTAGACTAACATACAGTTATCTACTTGGATTGAAGAGGTACCTCTGAACTATGATGTATACCCAGAAAAGGATATGGACAGAGAAGCTCTTGAACAGATTCATTTGTATAAGATTCTATAACACTAAAATAATGTTTTGCCTTGATCTAATGTTTTATTAAACAAACTATAAAGTAATGAAAAGTAAAATATTACCCAATACCCGAACATTTTTGTATGTCTTTCTAGTCTTCATATATATGCTTATATATCTATAAATGTACAATTTTATTCTACTTTTTGTGATAACATAATTAAAATATGTATCTGAAAATATTTTTCTTGTTTTCATTTATTCTGGTAGAAAAAGAGCTATGTCTTTCTCTAAACACTAATTCTGTAGGCCAAGTTCAGATATGGCAAGAAAAAAAAAAGACAACGCCTATCATGAGGGAAGGGTAGGTGGGGTGGGGTAGGTTCCATTGTCCCTGGTATACAGCTTTATCTGAAGAGGTAACAGGTGGACTAAACTAAAAATAATTATAGTGGCTAGGGTCAAAACAGACCCAAACTAGAAAATAGCCTCTGGTAGAGATTACATCTAGGTGAAGCAATTGCTAGTGGTTTGGGATTTTTTTCAGTGATGATTTAAATTTCTTTTGAATCAGGAAAAGCAAAACTTTCTTTTCTTTTTAACACAAAGGGACATCAATATTCGAACACTTAACTAGCTGTAGTCCTTTCGTAGCTAGCATTTAATATTTTTACATTTGAAATTGTAGAATTTTTGAAAATCTATTTCTTGAATCTAATAGCAGTTCTCAACCTGTGGGTCGCGACCCCTTTGGGGATTGAATGACCCTTTCACAGGGGTCGCCCAATTCATAACAGTAGCAAAAGTACAGTTATGAAGTAGCAACGAAAATAATTTTATGGTTAGGGGGGTCACCACCACATGAACTGTCTTAAAGGGTCTCAGCATTAGGAAGGTTGAGAGCCACTAAACTAATACACTTCATTATCAAATACTTAAAAAAAAGAACTTTAGTGGCAGCCTAACTTTTGAAGGTACTAGTCAATGACAGATAAAAATTTAAAAAACGAAGTCTGGACTGCGTTTACAGTTAGTACTAGGAGATTTAATATTCAGTATCTGGTATAGTGTCAAGAACTTTAGAATGAATACAGGAATCTCAATGCCCAGTATCTTTCTTAGGTGGGTATTTCATAATTCTGCTAACCCATTAAATATTCTTTTTTTTTTAAATTGTTTATTAGGGGCTCATACAACTCAACACAATCCATGCATACATCAATTGTGTAAAGCACATTTGCACATTCATTGTTATCATTCTCAAAACTTGCTCTCTACTTAAGCTCCTGGCATCAGGTCCTCATTTTTTCCCCTCCCTCCCCACTCCGCATGCCCTCATGCACCCTTGATAATTTATAAATTATTATTTTGTCATATCTTTCCCACTAAACATTCTTAAGCCAAAAATTATTCAGTGCCATCTGTTGATTGCCACTCAGCAAAGTGAGTCAGAGTACAGCTAACTGCTCAATAGGCAACTCTTAGTAACTCAAAATAATGAAATCATTATCAACTACCGCCTTTCTAGTAACAATTGACAGATTGTTCCAGGAGGCTGTGCAGGTGATATTTTGGAAAAATAATTTTAGAAAAGGGAAAATAAAAAATTTAAATATTTCTAAGTAGTTTATCATTAATATGGTTCTTTTATAAATTAATATGGTTCTTTTATATAGTTAAATTATTTGTTGGTTTATTGTAATAACAGATTTAGGTATTTAAATTTCACAAACAACAAACCATACTACCTGAAGAATAGATTGAACATACTACATAGAGTAACCATCCATGGTGAAAAAAATGAGGCTATTAGCAAAATGGCGGATAAATTACAAACAGCACACACTGACTTTGATTTTATACTGTGCCCATTCTGTGTTTTTTAATCATTAAAAAAAATCATTTTATTGGGGGTTCATTCAACTCATCACAATCCATACATACACCCATTGTGTCAAGCACATTTGTGCATGTATTGCCATCATCATTCTAAAACATTTTTTTGAGGACCTAATGTCGGGGGTTTAAATGGAGAGAAAATGTTTTGAGAAACGATGTACAAATGCGCTTTACACAATTGATGTGTGTATGGATTGGGATAACAGTTGTATGAGCCCCCAATAAAATGATTAAAAAAAAAACAAAACATTTTTTCTACTTGAGCCCTTGGTATCAGCTCCTCATTTTCCCCCTCCCTCCCCGCCACCCCTCCCCCTCATAAACCCTTAATAATTTATAAGTTAATTTTTTTCATGTCTTACACTGTCTGATGTCTCCCTTTACCCACTTATCTGTTGTCTGCCCCCTAGGGAGGGGCTTATATTAGATTATTGTAATCAGCTTCCCCTTTCTCCCACACATTACCCTTACCCTCCTGCTATCTCTACTCATTATTGGTCCTGAGGGGTTATCTGTCCTGAATTCCCTGTGTTTCCAGCTCTTATCTGTCTGTACTAGTGTGCGTGCTCTGGTCTAGCCGGATTTGTAAGTTAGAATTGGGATCCAGATAGTGGTGGGATGTCCAGTTGCCTACAGATGTACTTTGGGTCTCCACTCCACACTCCCCCTCATCACAATGATGTGATTTTTTGTTCTTTGGTGCCTGATAGCTGATCCTGCCAACACCTCGCAATCACACAGACTGTGCCTATTCTTAGGAAAGTCTCTACTTCCCAACTTTGACTTCCAGTTGCTCCAGTGATTACATGACTGCCCCTCAGAAGCAGAAACCTACATTTGTTTCTGTAGTGCTCCTTGAATGCCAGCACTCCCATTCTGGAACGCCCTAATGAGAAAGAATACTTGAAGTGCCTAGAACCATGAGGATAAATTAGAACAATTAATTCAGCTCTCATTAGTGGAATACAGTCAAGAGTACAATGACAGAAGGCTTCCATAGATATGTGATTTGTATTCAAGCAACTAAATTGTACAATTACAGTAAATATCCAAATTAGTAGCTCTTTCACTAAAATACATGATCATTTGACAAATAGAGCTGTTGCTTAGAGTTAAACTGATACCATAAGTAATAAAGTTGCTTATTGAACTTCATAGGGAAGAAGACTGTAATTCCCACATCTTATACAAAAACAAAACATTTTCATTTCAAACTCTCCCATTTTTAAGGCAAATGAAAGAAAATATCGATACAAATAAATATATACACAAGGTTTTTTTAATTAAAAGTTTATTTAAATATATGACAAACATTGATAAGCTTCTGTTATCTATTCTTGTGTGTGATCCCAGTGGGTTTTTATAAAGGACAGAGCAGTTTCAGGCGTTACAGTAACTGAACACAGGCACCCTCGGCATTGCATACCCACGTGGCAACCTGAAGCCAGAGAGAGAACACAGCCCGCCAAGCGGAGTCTCGGCCCGGCCGAGCCACAGTCAATGGTACTGATTGACCCCATTGGCTGAAGCTTCTGTTATCTTTTACCCAATACAATATCTTCTTTTGAGTCAGGAAAAGCAAAACTTTTTTTTTTTAATGCAATGGGGGAAAGGGGAAGAGGGGAGGAAGGGGGAACCGATCCCACCCACCCAGGGTTTGAACAACAGAGATGTGTGTGAAGGGAGCCAGCAGTCAGTGTAAGATATGAAAACAATAATTTATAATTTTTCAAGGGGTCACAAGGGTAGGGGGAAAGGAGGAAGGGAAAAAAGAGAAGCTGATACCAAGGGCTCAAATAGTAAATGTTTAGAAAATGATGGCAACATAAGTACAAATATGCTTGATACAATTGACATATGGAATGTTGTAAGAGCCCCCAATAAAATGATTTAAAAGGGAACGAAAAGGAAGATTCACTACTGGTATTAAAGAATGCAATGGGACTTCAAAACTTAAACAACTAGTTCTAGGCTTTTTGTATCTAGTATATTATTTCTAAAAACTTCAGCACATTTTAAAATTGTATTTCCTTTTGGAGATTTACCTCTCGAAAGGAATATAATATAATTTTCATTATTACCCACTTACAAAAAAGATAAAACTTTACCCAATAAAATAATGGGTAAAAGAACAACAAACCAACAAAATTCACAGGAGAGAAAATAAAATTTTTAGACCATAGTGGGTAAAAGTAATGACAGAAAAATCATAGACAAATAGGATTTTTAAAGACATACAGGGTCATACTTCTTAATAGTTGAACACAATATTTAAGTCCTTATTTCATGTTAAGATGTTTTCATTGTAAATATAGAGAGAAAAGTTAAAAAAATTACTTTTGTTCCTTATTTTTAAAGTACCTTTAAAAATAAAACTAAACCACACTTTAGAACTACAGAACCTTTTGGAGATCTATGTCTTGAAAGAGGTTTATCTAATACACTTTTCATAATCTAATTATGAAAAAGAACTTCGAGTAGCAATCTAACTTTTAAAAGGAAGCTATTGGTCAGTGACTGAACAAAATGCTAAAAATAAAAGTTTAGAACTCTGCCTGTACTATTTGTAAATATTTCCACTTTAAGCAATAATTGTCATATGAACATCCATATAACCTCTTGGCCAAGAGAGAAATCACTACCAGTACCTTTGTGGTTCGTGTTTGGCCCACTTTCCTAACTTTCTTTTCTATTTAAACTTTTCATTGTGACTTGGGTGCAGGTTTACCGAGCAGATCAATTGCCCATTCAGTAATCCATGTACATTTTGTTTCATTAATTGAAGTCCTCAAAATGTCCTCAAACTAAAACATCACTTGTTTTAGTTTGTTTTATCCCCTAGGATTTCCCATTTCTATTCTTCCTTTTTTCCTAACCCTCCTGAACCTTATCCTTGGGTGAATGTAACTCTTGTCATCTCAGGTGGCTGATTATTCTAAGGTCATAGGTGTACCTCCCTTGTTATTCCCCTTAGAAACCTGCCTTATCATTTGGCTGAAATTTGAGCCATGAGGTCTGCGGGACACTGAATTATATTTAATGTGGCTCTTTTAGCTAAAGGGTCTACCTACCACCAAACTACTTTTTTGTACATAGGTCTGGTAAGAAGGTGGGGGAAGAAACTGATAAGATTCACCTGTGAGTTATTACAAACAATTCCCTGGAGTGCCATCCTGCTGTGTATACAATGTGCCCTCTGAGAAACAGGAGAAGGGGTCTTACTTATTACCAGCAA